GGCGAGAGGGGGGACGGGGGGCGGGGGGAGGGCGGGGACGGGAGCGAGGGGGACGGCAGCGAGGAATACGACTTCGTCGCGAAGGGGCGAAGGAGAAAAAGGATCATCCGGAAGGTGGAAAGAGCGGTCAGGAGGGGGAAGGTGAGAAGGAAGGTGGCCATCGTTGTGGTGTGGTGGCAATGATGGCGACGGCCTGTTTGGGCGCCGTGGGGGGGGCGGACGCACTCACGTTTTGCATGCCGTAACGGTTAGAGAATTGACTACGCGTCCTCGAGAGGACGGAGCGTTGTTCCCACAGGTTGGGGGTGTCATTGTTGCTGTATTGGATGGATAGCCTTGTTGAAGGGATGCCGAAAATCGTGGTGACGCATGTAGGTGGTGACGCAAGACTTGCTGTTGGCTGCTCTAGTTTCCCCGCCGAGTTGTCCTATCTGAAGCGGTTGAAGTATAATTTTGTTGCTGTAAGTATTTGACGATATCACAGAAACTGCTGTACACGCATCCTCGCTTACGGTAGGTTATTCGATTCGACTCACACAAACACGGATAGTGTTCAGGGAACAACCCCCCCCCCCTCCTTGTATCATGTCCCGGGACCACTCCGTCCCCGACCGGAGGTGTGGAAACCCGTGGTGCCCGAAAACAAAAAACTAAATACTTGCGAAATAATTCTCACTACGAGGACAAGCGGAAGGTTACCCGCACGGTTAGATAGTCGACTGTTTTTTTCTCGTTGTTAGGAAACATAAATTCAAACACAGAGAGACTACCCATCCCGACGTCGTTGTGGTGGTGTCCAGCGGGCGGTGGGTTTGGTCTCGTCGAACGCCACAGCAAGCAGGACGGACGCTTGCCGTAGGTTGCGGATGTGCGCTCGAGCCGACCGGGCTCACTTGGTGGTGCTAATGATTTGGTACTGCACCGTTTTTGGTCTTTGCTTCCGAGAACAACACGAGTCACCCCTGCCGACAAGGGTACTACTGCTGTAGCTGCACGTCCGCGGCGTAGAAGTTTTGGGCACTTTCAGCTTCTTGTCAATTGTGCCTCAGCGTGGTCACGTGTCCTGATGCCGCCTGGCACAAACACGGCACAGGTAACCCTCCCACGATTCAGACGAGGCCTTGTTGGTGCTTGAGAGCGCACCTCCGTGACGGGCGTGTATGCTCACAGGCATCACCTTGCCGTAGCCGAACGTGTTGGCGCGGCTTTGTCAGATCATGGACGCTCCTCGCACAGATAGCAGGAGCTTTAAGCAGTCGTGACTACCTGGCATATCGGTTTCCTGATGGGCGTATCTACGTGCGAGAAGCTCGTGCTCTTTGGTTCTATCTGCCCTTGGCTGTCTGTCTTTTGCAACATTACCTTTTTTTTCTACTTGTCCTTGGTAATATTCTTGTTTTTTCGTCCAGGCGATCAGGCTCGTTCGTGCACGTGTGTCATAGTTTTCCTCCGCTTCGCGCCCTCGTTGCTCCCATTTCACATCATGTAATGTCTTGTCGTGCCACATCCTGTTGTGTCATGCCGTGTCGTTTCATGTCATTCCGTGGACAGATCCCGAAGGAGTGCTCGAGCGATTACGCGAAGCTCCTGACGTCGCCGTTGATGTCTCTCCTCTGCAAGAACAGCGGTAAGCCGGCGGAACCGTGCGTGCACAGCAGCAGCACCGGTCTAGCGGTGGCTGCAGTATACGTAGTACTCCAGATATGGCATCTTCGGCTTTCATTTCATCGGCACCAGTCTTCGTGCAGCTCCACCCCCGTCCCCTCTCCGGTGTTGCCCGGCACTTGCACGTTGTCCTTCGAGTGGGAAAGCGCTTACCCCTGCCCTTCGGGCAAGGCAGACTCTCGGTTGTAGATTCCCTTTTTTCTGTTTCGTCAGGCAATGTGGCCGACGCCACACCTCGGTATTGCCTGCGTCTTTTATTATCAGTATGAGCTAATGATGATCAGTCTCGAGGCGGATGCGGGTTGTGAAGAAGCAAAAGCAGGGCAAGGCACGAGATCACTGTGACCGTCGTGTACCCCCCCTCCGCGCGATAATTTACAGCGTAGGCTCGATGATCCCCCCGCCTGCCTCCCCCATGTCGATAGTTTCGGGAGACCAAATGGTGGCCATAGGATGCTCAACATGAACATTATATGGGCGGACGACAGGAAATGGTGGCCATAAGATAATGAACGTTATGGGCGAAGGACGGGGAGTGCTGTGATAACGCATTAATGTGCATGTTATTCGCGAGAACGAAAGACCTCCCCGTCGTCATGTTTAGCATCTTGTGGCCACCATTTATCTCTAAACACTACCGGCCGACACCGGTAGGCAGGCGGGGGTGTCATCGAGCCTGCCTTCTGCATGGGTGGCGCTGAGGGGGGGGATACACAAACATCACACAGCGTACCGA